CGGGAGATTCATGTGATTGGTTGTTGGTCGAGCTTCAGACACGCCCGCCGGCAAGCTTTGTTAGAAACGAGTGTGGACAGGCCGTAAGACTGCGAGATAATGTTTGTGTAGCAATAATACATGACCTTTCTCTTTCTCAACTCGCTACTCTGAGGGAAGTCGCTGTCAAATGCCTTGTGAACACTCCGATAATGCCTCTCCACGTTACCTTTCTTTGGCAGAGCGACGCTTACTTTACAAATAAGGCAAATAACCTTTGAATGTGACATCACAAAAAAATATTCTTCCTCCCATTCTGTGTGGAAGTGGTATGTCTTTAGCTTTTTGCTCGGTCCCGCACTCATTTTTGTTGTTTGTCTCTTTAACTTAATTTGAAAACAACAAAAATGAGTGCGGGACCGAGCAAAAAGCTAAAGACATACCACTTCCACACAGAATGGGAGGAAGAATATTTTNACCAAAATACACGTGTTGAAGCGGTTCGCTGCTGATTACTACCGAATATCCGGAGCCCGAAAAATGATATTCGGGACAGCCCTATTGGATATGCGCTTAATTTGTCCTGGATTGCAATTTTTCCGAACATTTCCCTAGGAGGAGTTTGCAAAAATGTGCTTAAAATGCATGAGAAACGCACATATTTGAAAATTGCCGAGTTTTTGGGGGGCTAATGGAAGGCAATTTAAAATATGTCCAGATTCATAAGAGCAATGTGTCTACAGCGTTTCATGAATATTGGAAAAACTATATGCGAGTAGTTTGGAGTAATTTGGAGTAATTTGTGGCATGTAAATCATCAAAAATAGAACATTCTCCGTTAGCTTACGAGCTACTCGTTCGAGCGATCACATTGGATATGGGCTGAACTTGTGCTGGATAGGAATTTGTTCGATCATTTCCCTAGGAGGAGTTTGCGAAAATGTGCTTAAAATGCATGAAAAACGCACATTTTGGAAAATGGACGACTTTCTCGGGGACGGGGCTAATGGAACGCAATTTGAAATATGTGTGCAATCATAATAGCAATGTGTATACAGTGTTCCGTGAATATCGGAAAAACTATATGCGAGTAGTTTGGAGTAATTTGCGACATGTAAATCGTCAAAAATGGTGTATTCGCTGTTAACTTACGACCTCCACAATTGAGCTATCAATCATCAATCATCCCCCTAGGAAGAGTTTGCAAGAATCTGCTAAAAATGCATGAAAAACACAAATTTTTCAAAATGGCCGACTTCCTGGGGGGCGGGGCTAATGGAATCCATATACAAATATGTCCGCAATTCCATGAGGGCGGTAGTGAGCAGTTTTTTTGAAAAATTACGTTTTTTTTTACATTCTCGAAAAGGTCGTGGGCTCTGACGTGTGTCCCAAGTTTTGCGTCCAAAGCTCATTTTATGCTTTGCAATAAAAAAAAAATGTTTAGGCCATTCGGAATTTGTTGCGACACTTTAAATCTGAGTTCGTAGTCACCCCGAGAGTGTGTGTAAAAAAAATATATATATATTAGTCCATCCGCTCTTGAGTTATAAATTGGTGGTGTTTTTGGCGCCCCCTATAGTCCAAAATGAAAATGCTTTGGTGTGCCTATTCCCCAAGACAGTTTGAAGCTATCTACCAAAATCTGTGATGTTTGGATACATTGTTGATGAGTTATGAGCATTTATTTCTAAGCCCCGCCTTTTTGCGAGAACGTTTTGATTGACGGCGGCAATATTTAGCGTCCTAACATGCTCATTTTCTACGGTAATGTGTCTGACCCTCCACCGATGCCGTATACGAAGTTTGGTGTTGAAAAACTGAAAATTGAAATTTAACTATTAACTTAATTTGAATATTATGCTAATTTAGAAGAAAAAAAATTTAGGCGGAGCTTAGGGTTCCAAGAGGATTATTTGTAGAGCAGGTCCACCCGGATATGTGTGCAAAATTTCAGGTCATTTGGAGTTACGGTGCGACTTTGTACATTTATTCCGAAATGGGATTTTGATAGGTGGCGCTAGTGAGCAGGTTGGAATATTTAACCCATTGACTCCAGAATATTGAATTTTTTACCGGTCCTGGCGTCCGTGCAAAATTATACAACTTTTTAAGCATCCTAAAGACCGCTCCGTGCTCGGGCCCTAATAATAATAATAATGCAACATTATATTTATATAGCGCTTTTCTTTTTTCAGCTGCCCAGCTGCAGCATGTGTATTGAAATGAAAATACTATTTATTTACTTTTCCAATGTACTTTCTATACCCTGCTTCATAAACAATACTGACATCCCTGTGCTCCTCCGAGTCTGGGGGTCCGGGAATGTGAGGACATCGCGAGGACACAGACAGGGAGGCTGCTTTACTTCATAAAGGAAATGGTGGTCAATATTAACAACACAGGAGCTAAAACGCTTAATAACCTTCATTACGTGTTAGAGAAAGAACATAAGAAAGTTTGACGAAGATGAGGCTGTTAAACGGGCAGCGGATCCGCTGTGTTTAGAAAGAGAGAGAGACGCTGAGCTGAACCGTGCAGCGATCAGCTGATACGGAGCATAGAGAGAGAGAGAGCTGCGGGGCTCGGCCTCCGCCTCCTGTCCTCACAACTCTTTATTAATCCCAGTACCGGACAATTGTTATTTGTTCCTACTCGGAACCGAGTTTTGCTTCCCAACCCTGCCACTGTGCTACACGTCCTGCCCCCCCCACGCTCCCGTCTAACAGTACAGAAAGCGGCGAGATGCATTTCCTTAGGAATCGACAAGCAGAACCGAAACTAACATTTCTAAACGATACTGATGGAATCGAAATGTTGGAACCGGTACCCATCCCTAATCTCACATGACAAAGAAGGAAACGTAAAGCGGTCGCAAACAGTAATGGTGGACACGGACAATTTGCGAATGAGTTCTGCCTTTTGTAAGCTGAATTTATCAATAATTTGTCAATAAATATGGGCGAAAAACGTCACTTGTCCATCGGACAAGTCAATTGAAAGATCTACTTGTCCGATATTATAAATAACACGTCCCGGACGGTGGGACAACATAATTCCTGTGACAGGCCTAATTTAAAAAAAAGTTTTACGACAACAGACAGTGATGTTTCATTTTCTAATTTGTTTGAAGGACCGTAAGTTGCTAGCGATGGCGCAGCAGATGCTTCAGGACAGCAAGACGAAGATCGAGTTCATCAGGATGCAGATCCTCAAGGCCAGCCAGGCCAGCGAGATGAGCTTCGAGAACAACGATGTGATGGGTGAGCCTTCAGTTGTACTCAGTGTTCCATTTTAAAACTTTTAATGGGAAAAACCCCAAAGTCCTATGAACAATTCCGTCTAACAGAATCCTGTCAATTTTTTTCTGTTCCAGACAAGCCCATCATCAGCCCGCTGGACCTCCGGGTGGAGGAGCTGTGTCACCACGCCAAGATCGAGTCGGCTGTAGCAGAGGGAGCCAAGAACGTCATGAAACTGCTGGGCACAGGGAAAGTCACAGAAAAGAGAGCGCATTCAGAGGTAGCTGTTTGTGTTTGCATGTGTGTGAGTCTATTTGCATGCTAAATTCACTGCTTCTGGAACATTGTGTTGACTAGCAGAAAGAAGATTTTCATCACTTTGTGCAGTTTCATTGGCTTTAAATAAAACAATTTCCTGCCCTGCTGCTGTGCTCTATTAAAGTAAAATGGACCGTGTAATTGATGTTTCTGTCTCTCTTTATTCTTTTATACTTATTTCCTTCATTTACTTCCTTCTCCTCTTCAGGCCCAGGCTCGTTTTAATGAGTCCAGTCAAAAGCTGGACCTCCTGCGATACTCCTTGGAGCAACGCCTCATGGAGCTGCCTAAAAACCACCCTCGCAGCAGCAGCATCATGGAGGAGCTGTCCCTGCTGTCCTCTCCTCTCCTCAGTCCCAGATCCAGCATCATCTCCACACAGAACCAGTACAGCACTGTGACCAAGCCCGCAGCACTCACAGGTAAAACACACCCGGTGATGATTAATAACAGAATGTGATGATGTGAGTTAGTGTCCCATCATCACCCTGTTCTTCTAAAAATAAAAACTGACAGCTTTTCACCTTTTCTCCACCTAGTGGTTCCTATGGTATTATTGTTGGTTGTTTGATCGATCTACTTATCTGGACTGAGTAAAACACCCATATTAATAAATGGGCATCTTTTGCTACTTACTGATCTAGCTTAATAGAAAGGACTTGTAGTAAGCAGTGATGCAGTGCTACGCCTTTTGTCTGGGACGTTTATATAGTCATCATAATATGGTTCCGTCATTGACTGAGAAACCATCAACCGTTTTGATGGATCCGGTAAAGTTGGTTGGACAAAGTCAGATAAGACTTAAGTTAATCTCTGATGTCGTAAGCTTTTTTACGCAAATCGTATGTGCTATTTATTCTGATACAAGACACAAGGCCTGGATACTACGTTGGGTTAACATTTCTTACTGTCATTTCTTAATCTCCATGTTCACGTAGATTTACCTAGACCCAGATATTATTACAAAGTGACATTTTCCTAGTTAAGATTAACACGGATGTTTCTCATTAATGCCTTTTTCTTTGTTTGTTGTCATTATTGTTACGTAGAGTAATAACCTACACATAAAACATTTCAGAATTGAAATGCTTAGACTTAGAATGTGCAAAATGGGACCATCTTGTAAAAAGATATTGTGTGATGCATGTATCTGTATTGTCCCTTCTCTCCTGCAGGCACGTTAGACGTCAGGCTCATGGGCTGTCAGGACCTTCTGGAAAATGTCCCGGGCCGTTCCAAAGCAGCTTCTGTCCCTCTGCCGGGCTGGAGCCCCAGCGAGACGCGCTCCTCCTTCATCAGCCGAGCAAACCGCAACCGTAGCGTGAGCTCCCGGAACCTGACGAAGAGCGAGGAGCTCTCCAGTGAGTAGACCTGACCATACGCTGTCTGGAAATAAGTAAATATTGATACAGAGATGGAAAATATACAGAAATATACACTACAGTGACATCTGGCGTCGTTTTAGTAAGACATTTTTACTTCCGCATAAAAAAGCCTCCGCACGTAACCTCCCGTGTGTGACGTAACATGGGGGAGAGCGGCCGGTCTAACGTAGTAATAAACATGGATCACAATGCTAGTTTTGACACAGACGAGGTTGAAAATATATATTCGAATGCATATGATTATAATTATGAGCCTGCTAGGCGTCCAAGAGACCAAGAGCAGCCAAGGATTAGAAGAAATAACGGCCATTGGAGAGAAATGGAGCTGTGGTGTGAGGAGAACATGTGGAGAACTGGACAGCTGTCTTGGTGAGTGACCGGCGTTAGCTACAGTTAATGTTAGCTAACGTCAGTCACATCACAACATTGTAAGGTTAGCTATCATATATCAGGCTATAACTAAAGTAGTATTGATAATATAGTAACGTTACTGGCAGGACTGTTGATACTGATCCATAACAGAAACTAATGCGCAAGTATCAGCCGTATCTCGCGTTACCTAATGCAACTCCACACTACGTCTTGCTGCGCTGTGTACCAGAGGGGAGACGCGACATACGGCTGATACTTGACTATCTGGCGGAGAAAGGTTATGGAGCCTCCGTTGATATGCCGTTGTAAATGGCTTGATGGAAAGCAGGTGTGTAGTCGGGGAGGGTGCACAGCTGATTGCAGCAGGTGAGTGGAGGTTGAGCCGGGAGCCAGGAGTGACAGCCACCACGCCCACACAAACAACACAGACAAGGGGAAACAAACAAACACAAAGGAGACGGCTGGAGCAGTACAGCCACCACAGCGTTACCTAATGCAACTCCACACTACGTCTTACGGTGCCGTGTACCGGAGGGGAGAGAGAACAGCAGCGAAGGGGGGAGAGAGAGAGAGCAGCGAAGGGGGGGAGAGAGAGGTAATACGGTTTCCTGATAAAGCTGTGGAGAGTATGTGCTGCAGGGAGGTGGATGCACAACGCACCCAGGAACGAACGCTAGCTCCGGTCCTTAACCAGTGAGGGAAACTGTGGACTCGATGTCCTGACAGGCTCAAGCTCACCATGATTACAAATAGTGAAATGCAATGTAAAATTACCGAAAAAATACCAGCTCACTAAATCACAACCGCTCAAACCAACTACAAACTACTACCGCGGATTGAGCAGAGAAGGAGTCCGAGACGTAATATGACGCGTTTCACGTATGACGTAAAAACAAAGCATTTTATAGTAGCAGAGCTCAAAACGGCTCCTTTCCCTCTGAATTCCTGCCCTTATGTCTTGTAAAACATATCAAATCCTGCATTAACTTGACAGCTATCATACTGAATAAATATGTACTGTGAATGTATGCAAAAATGTATGGCATATGGCTGTCTAACAGAAGTTTAATTCATTTCTCACATATTCTGACAATGTACTTAACCCCAAATAAAAGAACCCAATAAAAAGAGTTGTTAAATAATAGTGAAGTCAAGTTGTAATAACAATAACTCATCTCTCTCTCGTTTCATTTTTGAGCTTTGCTAAAAGCCACTGTGTCAAGTGTCCTTCCTGGGTTGCCGTCCGGAGTTCTCCAATATGGCGGACCATCTCGCACATGCACACACTGGATATTGTACTAAAGTAAAAGTAGAAGTACTCAGATCTTGTACTTGAGTAAAAGTAGAAGTACCAGAGTGTAGGAATACTCTGTTACAAGTAAAGGTCCTGCAATCAAATTGTTACCCAAGTAAAAGTACAAAAGTGTTATCATCAAAATATAGTGAAAGTAGCGACAGTAAAAGTAGTGATTGTGCAGATTGGTCTGTTCAGAATAATATATATATGTTTTATAATGATTGATCATTAAAGTGTTCTCAAAGCTGGTAAAGGTGCAGCTAGTTTGAATGACTTTGTATACTGCAGGGTAGCTTGTGAATTTACTCCAGGTGGAACTAAAGTCTGATTCAACACTTGATTAGATTTCACATCATTCGTCCACATCTGTAAAGTAACTAAAGGTATGAAATACCATTTACCTCTGAAATGTAGAGGAGTAGAAGACAAAAGTAGCAAAACATTGAAATACTTAAGTAAAGTACAAGTATCTCAACATTTTACCCAAGTATAGTACTTGAGTTTATGAACTTGGTTACTTTACACCAGTAGCTATAAAGATAGAAAGACTAAGCCTTGCACAGAGGCATGACGATACATTTTCAAAGCCTCGCTGAAAGTTTCCGGGGAAGCAGTGTGTGGACCCGTCAGCGCAACTTACATGATGCCGAATTTAACAAACACATTTAAATAATTGGTTTAAGCAGCATAATAATAAGGACAATCGTCCGTTCTGTGATTCTCCAGAACACACAGATGGCCAGTCCGCCCTTTTTTCAGCATATTATTTCGTTGAGAGATGAGCAGATCGCCACTGGGCTTTCAACTAAAGACACAGCCACGCAAAAACTGCGGCATTTCTACAGCTCCTTATGGGTACTGCAATTTGTGAAGTGTTTTCCTCAGTGGTGAAACGATCAGCACTGAACTACGGAGGAAAGCGGCAGGAAATCGCCTGGAGTTAAAGAGAGCGGGGCTGCGTTGCGTGCATGGCTTCCTTCTGCAGGTAACAGGGAGACGCGCTCTGGCAGCGGTCTCGTTCAGGATCCGAAAATATTTTTTTCATATTTTGCACACTTATTCCACTTATTCCTAGTGTGCCACTGATTACGGTGCACGCGTGCCAGGGGTTGCCGACCCCTGATGTAAGCTTTTACTCCTGGATTGCATCTATACTTCAACTATTTTAAAAGCGGTTTAAATATATGGAGATTATCCTGCTGAACAAAACGTGGAAGAATCATAAGTGTGTGTGTCCTCAGATGAGATCAGCGCAGTGCTGAAGCTGGACAACACGGTAGTCGGCCAGACGAGCTGGAAGTCAGTCAGTAACCAGGCCTGGGACCAGAAGTTTACATTGGAGCTGGACCGGGTAACAGCCACGCACACACACTCTCCCCTAACCTACATCTGTCTTGTTGTCTCAGTGTGGTGTTTGAACACAGTCAGTGTGTTTCACATGTTGCTTGTGTGTCCTGCAGTCTCGTGAGCTGGAGATCTCGGTGTACTGGAGGGACTGGCGCTCGCTCTGCGCCGTCAAGTTCCTGCGACTCGAGGACTTCCTGGACAACCAGCGTCACGGGATGTGTCTGTACCTGGAGCCACAGGGGATGCTGTTTGCTGAGGTACACACACACACACACACACACACACACACACACACACACACACACACACACACACACACACACACACACACCGACCGTTAGTTATAATTGACAGGTCACATTGAGACAGTTCCTGGTGACCATAATGGACAGGACTGTAAAAATACTGAAATTATAAAAATCTAAAGAAATGTCTGTTGATATATATTTGATTACTTCTTTTATGTTACATGTTTGTAAGTGTGTCATAGCAGCTGTTTTCTGTTTCGTCTAAATATTAATTTCTCTTTTTCAGGTTACATTTTTCAATCCTGTCATCGAGAGACGACCAAAGCTACAAAGACAAAAGAAGATTTTCTCGAAACAGCAAGGTGAGTCAACATTTCTTCACTCTATTTTGACTCTCAGACGTGCATTACAGAAATGTACATTGTTTAACTGAGGCTTGGATGGTATATCTAATAATTTTGTTGACCTTGGATTCACTAAAAACAGTGTTCATACTTCCTAAACGTCCCCAAATATGTTACTAGCTCGAAAAAGAAAAATTACTTTGTGTACCTTGTTTTTTCCTTTGGCTCTTTCTCCTTTTCATACGTCTTAACTTCTTTGCTCTTTGTCCCGTTGGCCTCTGTAACATCAGGTATAACCTTCCTGCGGGCCCCTCAGATGAACATCAACATCGCCACCTGGGGCCGCCTGGTGAGGAGAGCCATACCCACCGTCAGCACCAACTCCTTCAGCCCGCAGGCGGCTGAGACCGGGACCGACAGCGTGCCGGGCTCCCCCACACCCTGCAGGTACTCACACCAGAGGTTGCGCTAGACTTTTTCGCTGTCCATAACAGGATCCTAATATTTCTGTCAAAATTCAGTATCACCCGTCAGCTTTTACACAACTCTGACGAGGGGGGGAGAGAGCACGCTCGTGAACTGTCAACGGGGGGGGGGCGTGAACAGTTGGCGTCATGTTATGCATGCGGGATAACACCTCCTGGGAGCGTGCACAGCGCAAAGCAGAAACTCGCAGACATTTCAATGATTTGTACGGCAAAGTTAGGTTTGGAAACGGTATAATTTCCTTTTTAACACCGGAGCCTCCCCACGGGGAAACTTTGGCGCTGTTCCGAGTTTGTTCTAATCTGTCAATATGACGGACTGCTTTCAGATTTTTACGTCATTGTTAAAAAAAAATCCGTCAGGCGGAAAACATTCGGTTAACGGGACCTCTGACTCACACACACCCTGCAGGTACTCACACACACCCTGCAGGTACTCACACACACATATATAAACAAGGTTATTCTAAAGTAATTAAGTCATAAAACGATAGTTACGTATGTAATTACGGTTCTATGAATCCTGGATGACCGCCAGAGGCGGTGCTTAGCACTGGAAGCCATAAGTTCCGGTGTTGTCAACGAGTTCAGTTCTATGGAATCTTCTCGCGGGAACGCGATATTCCGAGTGACCACAAACTCAGGTGGTCATCCAGGATTCATAGAACCGTAGTTACATACGTAACTATCGTTCTATTTTATCCTTACTGACCGCCAGAGGCGGTGCTTAGCACTGGATGACCTATACCAGAGGTGCCCTGTACGTCGACCGCGGGGGCAATGCTGGTAGATCGCGAGTCATTCATAATAAAAAAAAAAATCCAGCTCCATTAAAATAGACAAAACAGGTTTTGACTCCCTCCTCCCTTCGGCCTCCCTGCTACTTAATTCAGGAGTTTACTTGATTGACAGAAAAAGCGACCTATCGCTTTCCAGTCTGTTAACCCAGAATGCAAAGCGATCAAAA